CTACATCCATCCATCAATCTATTCATCCATCCATCCATCCATCCATTCATCATCCATCCATCCATCATCTACATTCATCCATCCATCCATAATCTACATCCATCCATCAATCTATTCATCCATCCATCCATCCATCCATTCATCATCCATCCATCCATCATCTACATCCATCCATACATAATCTACATCCATCCATCCATCCATCCATAATCTACATCCATCCATCCATCCATCTATTCATCCATCCATCCATCCATCCATCCATCCATTCATCACCCATCCATCCATCATCTACATCCATCCATACATCATCTACATCCATCCATCCATCCATCCATCCATCCATTCATCATCTACATCCATCCATCCATCCATCATCTACATCCATCCATCCATCCATAATCTACATCCATCCATCAATCTATTCATCCATCCATCCATCCATCCATCCTTCTATTCAATCATCCATCCATCCTTCTATTCAATCATCCATCCATCCATCCATTCATCCATCCATCCATCAGTCTTTCTTCCATCCATCCATCCATCCATCCATCCATCCATCCATCCATTCATCCATCCATCCATCTATTCAATCATCCATCCATCTATTCAATCATTCATCCATCCACTGACACCATCCATCCATCCATCCATCCAGGCATCCATCCAGGCATCCATCATCCATCCATCCAGGCATCCATCCATCCATCCACTCATCTACATCCATCCATCCATCCATAATCTACATCCATCCATCAATCTATTCATCCATCCATCCATCCATCATCCATCCATCCATCATCTACATCAATCCATACATCATCTACATCCATCCATCCATCCATCCATGCATCCATCCACTGACATCCATCCATCCATCCATCCATCTATTCAATCATCCATCCATCGATTCAATCATCCATCCATCTATTCAATCATTCATCCATCCACTGACACCATCCATCCATCCATCCATCCATCCAGGCATCCATCATCCATCCGTCCATCCATCCATCCATCCATCCACTCATCCATCCATCCACCCATCCACTCATCCATCCATTCATCCATCCATCCATGCACTCATCCATCCATCCATCCATCCATCCAGTCCAGTGTCTGCAAGCACAAAACCCAACAATCCGGATGATAATAATATATTTATTTATTTTCCTATTTATTTGGCCCTATTACAGGACCATCCCAGGGCTGATTATGAGTTTAAAGTAATGCAGAAGTCTCTGAAGATGGAACAAAAATCACAACACAAGGTAAGTAAACATGGAAGTTTGTATAATTTTGTAACTCTTTTCCGAAAAGGAAGCCTACATCCATAAAACTGATATGGCCTTTACCAGGTTCTAAAATTACTCAGTCCTAACCTCAGGTGAAGAAAAACACAACTCTGTCAACAAAGTTATTATGACCCCTGCACGTGAAGCGTAAGCGGGAGTCATATTGTTTTCGTACTGTTTTTTTTTTCACTGATTTTTGGTCAATGGTAGCACAAAAACGGCTGCACCAATGTAGATGAAATTTGGCAGGACTGTAGATGAGCCTGACCTACACTGCGCCAGCCAACAGTTTGACCATACACGCCATATTTGAGGAGGGGGCTCCATCCAAAAAGGGGGTGTCAGGACATGCAAAAATGCTTATAACTCAGAAACTGTTAAACATAGAAGCTTCAAATTTCTTTTGTTGTTTAGCTCCGATGAAGCTCTATCCATCAGGCCCACAAATCAGTGCCCCCCCTCCACCACCACCTCCCAGATCTCCAATTAATCTGAAAAAGGGGTATCTGGACATACAAAAATGGTTATTGCTAAAAAATCTATTAAACATAGGAACTTCAGATTTTCTTTTGTTGTTTATCTCTGATGAGGGTCTATCCATCAGGTCAACCAATGCCCCCCCCCCCACACACACACACACACAAAAGACCTCCACCCAAGCTACTACAATTTTGGGATACATCTAGTAGCATGACATTTATTAGGAAGAAAGAGTTCTGAGTTCTGGCGCATTTGTGCGTGCGGGGGTCATTATGTTACCGCTATGCGGCATCTAGTTTTATAATAAACTAACCCAAACCCACAGATCCAGCAGATTGTTTCCCATCTTTTGGTTACTTCAGATTAAACGTTTCAAACCAAGTTGGGGTGTCATGTTGTTTTTAGAGAGAAGAGACTTTATCTTGTCTTTCCAAGCAAGTCATTCTTTTTTTTCTGACTGTTGTTTTATGAAATGTAACCTGTAACCTGCTAACTGAGGTTTGTAGAATCTGAGCTCATTTTTCTGAGCATTGCTCGGTCTGACCTTGGGATGAGTTGGCAGGGATGTCCACTCTGCAGCTGATGTTTTCCACTTGTGAATAATATTTAACTCTGTAGAATGATGGACTATGTAGTTTGGAAATTAACTATGACCCTTCCCAGATTTATGATCAGCAACAGTTGCTTCTCTAAAGTCATTGCTGTTGTCTGTCCACCTTGGTGTTGTGTTAATGCACATATGTACACTCTAAAAATGAAATGTTGGATTTACTTAACCATGTTATGTTACCTGGTTCCACTTAACTGAGTTGAGTAAATTCAAAGCAACATACTCATGTTCTTTGGCTAAAAAACTGGTATATTGCTTTGAATTTACTCAACTCAGTTAAGTGGAACCAGGTCACATAACATGGTTAAGTAAATCCAACATTTCATTTTTTACAGTGTATGGCACAAATGGTCCTCGCTCTGTAGTAAAAACAAGTACACACACACACACACACACA